ACATCTTCCTTTCTCTCTCCGAATCTCAAGGCCAAGAAATACAAGTCAATCAAAAGAAGTAAGAAAATTAATTAATCAATTAATTAAATTAAATAAAAAGGAGTAAGTGACCTAGAATCTCTACCTTCTGAGGGGTTTTCTTGGCAACAACCAGTGTTCACTTTATTTGTTCCAAAAAAACCATCCCTTCTCTCAGAGAAGATAAAAGAAAAATTAGAAGTCAAGCATCCCGCCACCTCTTTGCCTATAAAGCCTACCGTAGGCCCACAAAAGGTATTTGCTGAGTGTTAAATGAATAAATTTGGTATTGCACCATTCAGTCCAATCAAGCAGGAAACCTTTTTACTCTTCACATTCCACATAGTGTTACAAACACTTTCTAGTGGACTCATTTTTACAATCTTGCTGGCTTTATTACATATTTCATTACATTACATTAGCTTTCCTGACACCATTCTTAAAACCCTGTGCCCCACCCCCACCCCCACCCCCTTAGCTGTGCACCATGGGCCGTGTGCCCCCCTCCCCCCTTCAGCCATCCAAGCCTTTTCTAGCCTTCTTCCTCCTGCTCACATGACCTGGAATAATGTCTGTTCTCTACACTGCTGAACATCCACCTCCTTGAAGACCTGATCATCATAAGCTCTCAAACCACAGCACAGATCTTTTCCCCATTCAATGGTCCTGTTATTTTCGATTCCAACCAACTCTTCCCTGTTGTAATGGTTAGGTGCAGAGCAGCAGTTTCCATTCTGTTTCCTCAATCTAACAAGTGAGGACACAGTCGGTGGCATTTCTTTTAGAGAAATGCAACTTGCAGGTGTCTAGATGGTAGATCCCACCCTCACCCAATGCCTTCACTATCATAATTACTACAGGTCCTGGGCTCCGGTCTCGCTTCCCTCACAAAACTGCCACAGCCAACTTTCTAAGACCTGTCACCTCTCACTTAACTGCTTAAAAATCTTCCTCACCCAACAATATACCAAACTTCTAAGTATAATTTTATGAAGTGATTTCATTCTGGCCCCAAGCAGTATTTTCCACGGCATGTTTGGCTAACTTCCCATCAGCACCTACTTTAGAACCTCACATAACCCACCCTGAGCACCAGCTGTAGACTACTAACCATTTCTTGAACATACCACACTGTCATGCCTCAGAACATTTGTCCCAACTATTCTCTGCACTGCTAAGTACCTCCCCTGACTTGACCCTCTGGAAAAACCCTACTTTAACTGTACTGTCTGGGTTAAACGACGCTTCCTCTGTAAAATTATCCCTAAATTCTACTGCCAACCTCAATGATGCAGAATAAATTGTTTTCAGCTGAACTCCCATAATGTATTCACTTATTATGGGTCCGTATTATACACAATTATTTATGCCTCACTCCTCTTAGTTCTACGTATTTATTCAGGGCAAAGGCTGTATCTTACTTCGGTGTTTTTCAAACAGTAGGGTCCAATCCACCATAAATAGATAAATCAATTTAGTGAGCCACAAGTTTTTTTAAATTTTTTTTAAATTTATTTCTTTATGATAGTCACACAGAGAGAGAGGAGAGAGAGAGAGGCAGAGACACAGGCAGAGGGAGAAGCAGGCTCCATGCACCGGGAGCCCGATGTGGGATTCGATCCCGGGTCTCCAGGATCGCGCCCTGAGCCAAAGGCAGGCGCCAAACCGCTGCGCCACCCAGGGATCCCGAGCCACAAGTTTTTTAATAGATTAGAAGACATCAGAGGACACTGAGCATAACAGGGATTAAGTATAATTTTGAAAAACTTAGTTATATATATTTGTATATATGATGGGTTGTGATTGAAAATAAGATTTCTTGGGATGCCTGGGTGGCTCAGCAGTTGAGTGTCTGCTTTCGGCTCAGGGGTCACGCGCTCAGGGCGTGACCACGGAGTCCCACATCGGGTTCCCTGCAAGAAGCCTGCCTCTCCCTTTGCCTGTGTCTCTGCCCCTCTCTCTGTGTCTCTCGTGAGTAAATAAATAAATCTTTAAAAAGAAAGAAAACAGATTTCTTAGGCAACTTGGGTGGCTCAGTCAGCTGAACATCCAATTCCTGATTTCAGTTCAGGTCACAATCCCATGGTGAGCTTGTGGGCTGGGCTCACAATCCAATGAAGCAGGAAACTTTTTTACTCTTCACATTCCACATAGTGTTACAAACACTTTCTAGTGGACTCATTTTTACAATCTTGGCTGGGCTCAGCACTGGGCAAAGGAGCCTAAGATTCTCTCTGCCCCTCCCTCCCCTCTCCTTCTGTCTCTCTCCCTCTCTAAAGAAAACGGAAAATAAAAAAGATTTCTTATTGTGAGTTGTAGTAAAAATAGTTTTGAAAAACTTTCTTAACTTTGTATCTCAGATGCATACTGTCAGCTACACAGCAAGGGCTTAAAGGTGACTGCAGAAGATTAGTATCTTGAGTGTTCACATTAAGAACACATTATCATGGGATCCCTGGGTGGTGCAGCGGTTTAGCGCCTGCCTTTGGCCCAGGGCGTGATCCTGGAGACCCGGGATCGAGTCCCACGTCGGGCTCCCGGTGCATGGAGCCTGCTTCTCCCTCTGCCTGTGTCTCTGCCTCTCTCTCTCTGTGTGTGACTATCATAAATAAATAAAAATTTAAAAAAAAAGATTTGTTTAAAAAAAAAAAAAAAAAAAAAGAACACATTATCATTCCTTTCCTTTATCCAGCCAGATATCCTTTCGTGTGCATGCTCCCACAATCACATCATTTCTGTTCCTTCATGCTTTTTATCTGCAATTAAAACTCAGTCACTTCCATAGAAATGCAGATCTCCTGGGTCCAGCATTCTTTTAAATTGTCTAACTTTCCTGGGGTGCACCTCGATGGTTCAGTCAGTTAAGTATCTGACTCTTGGGCAGCCCCGGTGGCTCAGCGGTTTGGGGCCGCCTGCAGCCTGGGGTGTGATCCTGGAGACCCGGGATCGAGTCCCACATAGGGCTCCCTGCATAGAGCCTGCTTCTCCCTCTCTCTGTGTCTCTGCCTCTCTGCCTATGAATAAATAAATAAAATTAAAAAGAAATAAGTTCAAATCTGGGATGCCTGGGGGGCTCAGCGGTTAAACCTCTGCCTTTGGCTCAGGGCGTGATCCCAGTTCCAGGATGGAGTCCCACATCAGGCTGCCTGCATGGAGCCTGCTTTTCCCTCTGCCTGTGTCTCTGCACCTCTCTCTGTGTCTCTCATGAATAAATAAATAAACTCTTAAAAAAAAAAAAAAGTATCTGACTCTTGATTTTGGTTCAGGTCATGATCTCAGGATGGAGGGATCAAGCCCCCAAGTCAGGCTCCATACTCGGTGTAGAGTCTGTGTGTTCTTCCTCCCTCTGCCCCTCCCCCATTCACAGGGGCACACACACGCTCAAATAATATCTTTAAAAATATATATAAATTGTCTAACTTTCCAATGATAAATATTCGTAAGTTTCACCCTCAAGAATCTTCTGTGTCATTCAAGAAAAACCTTTCCCATAACTATTTCTTTCAATGTACCAGCCTATCTATCACCTTTCCTCCATCCTGAAGGGTGGACCTTTGGCCTCCACTCTGCCTCTAGCTTCCGCTCAAGCCACCAAGGGGGGGTGCCAAGCTGCCTAAGGACTATCCAGAGCAGCCCTTTGTCAGCTCTCAGCCTCCAGTGCTCTACAACTGGCTTCTGAGGGCACGTCGTGTATCCTCCTCCACTTCTATGTAGGTAAATACATGGAACCTTTCAAAAATATGCCTAGCCCATAAGTACTATGTAACTCTTAACTTATTATCACGGGATCCCTGGGTGGCGCAGCGGTTTGGCGCCTGCCTTTGGCCCGGGGCGCGATCCTGGAGACCCGGGATCGAGTCCCGCGTCGGGCTCCCGGTGCGTGGAGCCTGCTTCTCCCTCTGCCTGTGTCTCTGACTCTCTCTCTCTCTCTCTCTCTGTGACTATCATAAATGAATAAATAAATAAATAAGTAAATAAAAATTATTATCATTCATTCCTCCTCTTGACCCCTAAGTATAGGTAACTAACTGTCCAAGATTCTGCCCTCAGCAGTCTTCCCTTTCTGCCCCACCCACTCTCTCCCTTGGCCTTGTCATCCACTCAGCAATGTTTCAACAAGCCCACCTGCAGGAAAAGTACCCATCACTCTCACAGATCTAAAGCTATCCCCTGAATCCCAGATCCACACTCAACATGCCCAAAGCGGTCTTTGACCAATTTCCTTAAACGTTCACCAGTAATATCACCGTTGGCTCCCATCATTTTCATTTCACTGTTTCCCCCCCACCCCCCACCACATGCAACCAATTCTCAAATTCCGTCTCAACTCTTACCTCCTCGGTGCCTCTTCCTTCCGTTTCCTAGCTCAGGCCTTCTCTATCACTCATCTGGCCCTCCAGAGTGGTTTCACGCCACCCAGGACTCAACAACATGCTGCTGGCGGATAAATCTCAAAACCAGAGCTGCGATGACAGCTACTCACCAGGTCAAAACCCTTCACTGGATCTGCCCTACCTTCCTTAAAAAGCACAAACTTCCCAGCCGGGCACTCGAGAGCCTCCGCAGAACAGAAGGCAGCAGCCTCGTCTCTTGGCCTTCTCTTTACTCAGGACCCACAACCTGGCCAAGCGGGAACCTTCTTTTCTCACTGATGTCTCAGCTCAGGCGTCCCTAAGAAGCCCATTTCTCCTTGTATCGTCACACTTCGATCTCTTTTTCACCAATCCTCGACGCCCACTCAAAACTTCAACTCCTCCATAGGTTTGTTGTTGTTGTGGTTGTTGTTGTGGTTGTGGTTCCCGGTTATCCTCCTCCCCACCCCCCACCCCAAAGACATTCCACTCCCTCTTCTCAAGGTCCTTAGCGCTTGGTCATGACCTTCAAAAGGCCCTACGTTCTGCAACACAGCAGGACTATTTAGATGATCACCTTAATCTCCCTGCTCAACAAAAAAAAAAAAAAAAAAAAAAAAAGCTCCTTACAGTCAAGGACCGTGTCTTCAAAATCTTCGAAACCCTTTAAACATTCAGTACAACTTCTGAGCCGCTTCCTGTCGTGGTTCGCGGTTGTTTTGTTTTTAGAGGGACCTTTACAGCAAGCCATTTAGGAATTCTGGGAAAACCTCAGCCGTTCTCTAGGCTATCCTCATCAACACCTAACGAAAACCTAAAAGAAAGGATCCAAAAAAAAAAAAAGGGGGGGGGAGGGGGAGGGGGGATCTACAGTTTTTTTTTTTGTTGTTTTTTTTTTTTAACAACTGGGGTGAGAGGGAGGAAATGACTCAGGGAGACACTAAAAGCCGCTGCCTCTGTAGCTCCCCGGGGTTTTCGCACCGTCCCTGGCGGTCAAGGAGCCTGAACAGGAACTCGAGGTACCCGGACCGCAGCGTCAACGACGCCGTCAGCTCGCTCAGCGCCTCCCTCCCCGCCCCTGCCCACCGAGACGTTTTTCATCCGCCCGAGGAGGGACTTCAACGAAGGGCTGCACGTTCCCCTCCTCAGGCACCCCGTGTTCCCACGAAGACGCTCTCAGTTCTCCCGGTCCCCAGGCCCCTGCCGAGGGCTCAGAGCTGCACCTCAAGCCTCCCATCCTCAGAGTCCTCCCTCCGTCTCCAAACACCCTGCTCCCGCCGCTCTGGCGGACTCGAGCACCTGGAAATCGAGTCCCAAGTCACAAACTGTCGGTCCCCGCCGCCCCACAGGTGGTCTGGGAGCGGCCTCGGGGGAGGCCCTGCACGCTCTCCGGCAGCAGCCAGGCTCCGTGACAGCAGCGCCCGGGGACCCCGCAGCTCGGCGCTGAGGCCCTGCGGGTGCAGCCTCGGGCCCGCCCGCGCGCGCGCCCGGGTCCCCTCGCCCCCCGCACCGAGCACGGCGCTCCTCACCCAGCAACTCGAGGTTCATCCCTGAGGGCTCCGGCCGCCGGGTCTCCGCTCCAGGAACGGCGCCTTCTCCCCCGCCGGCTCCCGAGACCTGCGTGCACGAGGGGGGGACGGGGGTGGGGGGCGCCGCCGAGAGCTCGGCGCAGGCTCCGGAGGCCTTCTGGCTTGCAGGACCCCGTGGCTTCCGCTTTCCTCCCCCGCCTCCCTCGCCCGCTTCCGGCGGGCCGTCCGCGCAGATGCCTGATCAGAAAGGCGAACAAACTCGCGCGGAGTCGCCTGAGGACGCCGCTGACGAAGGGACGGAAACGCCATCGTCGCCCGGTACTGGGAGAGGGGCAAACGTCCGAGGCCGCTTTCGCCCGAATCGCGGACGCGAGCCAGAAGCTTCAGGCACGTGGCTAGACTGCTAGCTCCCAGGCCTCGCCGTGCAGTGCGCTCCGCGGCGACGTCCCGGCGGCTGCGCGCGGGGCTGCACCGAAGGTTCCGCGCGGAGCCGACGGCCCCCGGAGAGCGGGAGGGGGCGGGGCTCCGCAGCCCCCGAGGCGCCGACTCTCCGCCACGCAGGCTGCGCTCCCGGTGCCTGTTTCAGTCTCGGGGCGGTCGCCTCCCTCGCGTACAGATAGGCCAAGGGTCGCACGCAGCGTGCGCGAGCCCTGGTCGGGCCCCGCAGCGTGACGGACCGGACGCCGAGGACCCAGCGGAAGGGCGGCGGAGCGCCCCGCGGCTCGGGGCGGCGGGACTGCGATGGGACACGGAGCCCGAGGCCGGGCCCGCCGCTGCTTGCTCGCGAAGAGCAGGTTCCCTGGAAGCTGGATTCCGCCGTGGGGTCTGTGGGCTGTCGGACGAAGGCAGAGAGTGGGCCGGGCTTGCGGTGGCTCAGTGTGGGGCGCGCGCCGTCGGCCCGGGGCGTGACCCCGGGTCCCGGGATCGAGCCCCGCACCCGCCTCCCCGCAGGGAGCCCCTTCTCCCTCCGCCTGCGTGTCTCGTGAATAGATAAGTAAGATATTCATTCATTCATTCATTCATTCATTCATTCATTTTATTTTATTTATTTTGATAGAGACGGAGAGAGAGAGGCAGAGACACAGGCAGAGGGAGAAGCAGGCTCCATGCACCAGGAGCCCGACGTGGGACTCGATCCCGGGTCTCCAGGATCGCGCCCTGGGCCGAAGGCAGGCGCCAAACCGCTGCGCCACCCGGGGATCCCCGATAAGTAAAATCTTTAAGGAAAAAGAAAAAAAGAATGGCTTTCTATTAAAAAAAAAAAAAAAAACAGGTGTGGGGGGGGGACTGGAGCTGGGTCCCTGTATGTAGGTTTAAGGGCTGCAATCCCAGCTCCATCCCTTACCAACCCGACCTGTTGCGGGGAGGGGGGGGGAGGGGGGCGGGGAGGGTCTTGCCTGTGAAAATGAGGGTGTTGCTAAGAGTACCTGCAGGATTACGGTGGTGCGGGGCAGATGAGCTAACACGTAGGAAGCGCTTGGGACAACAGGTAAAACCTTAGCTGGTTTTTTTTTTTTTTTTTTTTTTACATTTTTCAAAAGATTTTATTCATTATTTATTCATGAAACACAGTCAGGGACACAGGCAGAGGGAGAAGCAGGCCCCTGCATGCGGGACGCGATCCCTGGATCTCGGGATCACGACCTGAGCCAAAGGCAGAGGCTCCACCACTGAGCCACCCGGGCGTTTTAGCAGAAAGAGAAGCTTCATTCACATGGTGCTCCCTGTCCCGCCAGGCTACAGTTGATTGCTCTGTGGATGGGCCTCTGACCCAAGCTGAACCCAATTAGATTCCTTTCCAAGAATTTGGAATGTGGACTAAGAGGCCCCCATCATCTGGCATGTCTGTTGAAGAGGACGGATATGAATGACAGGGCTACTGGCGTCTAACAGATGGAAGCCATGGTAGTTGGCTTCTGATGGAGCAATAAAGCAGAGATTCAGAAGCAAATCAAAGTAATACTTTCTGTATCCAATCTGTTCCCAAGAACATCCTCTCATTCTGTTAAATATCCTTGGGCCTTTATAAAAGATGACCTCTTTGCTTGTGCTAGTACAAAACCTGTTTTGTTGATTACAAAAGTCTTTACTCATTCTGCTCCCCAAGGATGCAGAATGCTCAAACCCCACTTCTTTTTTTTTTTTTTTAAGGTTTTTATTTATTTATGATAGGCACACAGCGAGAGAGAGAGAGAGAGAGAGGCAGAGACACAGGCAGAGGGAGAAGCAGGCTCCATGCACCGGGAGCCCGACGTGGGATTCGATCCCGGGTCTCCAGGATCGCGCCCTGGGCCAAAGGCAGGCGCCAAACCGCTGCGCCACCCAGGGATCCCTCAAACCCCACTTCTGTTGGGAGGGAAGAGGGAAGGGAGTGTCATTTCAAACTGAAAAGATTTACAAAACCATTTCTAAAACCAAAACAACCATTCAAAGTTGCTTTATTTTCTTTTTTTAAGATTGTTTTTATTTATTTGATAGAAGCCAGCACAAGCAGAGGGAGCAGCAGAAAGAGAGGGAGAAGCAGGCTCTCTGCTGAGCAGGGAGTCTAATGCAGGGCTCAGTCCCAGGACCCTGAAATCATGACCTGAGCCAAAGGCAGACGCTTAACCAACTGAGCCACCCAGGTGCCCCCAAAGTTGCTTTAAGTAAAGAAAGCCCACAGTTGCTCCTTTCCAAAAACAAAGGAAAACATTGCATAAAGGGAAAAGCAACGACGACAAAAACATTATATGAAGACAGCACATTGTTTTTCTCTCAATTCTCTGAGTCTCCAATCCAATGTAATCATTTCAATCATCTTTACTGCACTGGATGCTAACATACTTGGTGAAATCCAAACCCTTTAAAAAAACATTAGATAAAACCCCTGATACACGGTTTTCAGTGTGGTTTTTTTTTTTTTTCCCATTTACCTATTTTTCCTTCTATACCCCCTATTTTTGCCCTTTTTCTTTTATAGAAATATTTTTTTTTTAGGATTTTATTTATTTATTCCTGAGAGACACACACAGAGAGAGGCAGAGACACAGGCAGAGGGAGAAGGAGACTCTCTGCAGGAAGCCCGACGTGGAACTCGATCCCAGGACCCCGGGATCACGACCTGAGCCAAAAGCAGACGCTCAACCACTGAGCCACCCGCATGCCCCTTACCTTTTTCTTTTTTTTTTAAGAAAGCTTATGTAACTTGTTATACAAGTCAGACTTCAAGCTACAGGCACTTCAAGGAAAGAGAACAACTGTCATGTTTGGCAATAAGTCCGTAGAGGAGGAAGGAAGAGGAGTTTATTCCTCAGTGTCCCTCACCTTCAGTGATCTATAACCAGAATCTGAAGTCTGTCTCATCCCAGGCCAGAATCCAAGTCCTGACAGTGTTCATCTGCTAGGAGGTGCAGAGACTTCTGATGCGGTTCTCCCAGAAACTGGAAGGTTCTCTTGGAGAGGCTTATTCAACCAGAAAATATACAGAATATATAAAGAAACACAGGGGTGCTAGGGTGGCTTCAGTCAGTTCGGCGTCCGACTCTCGATTTTGGCTCAGGTCATGATTTCTGGGACTTGAGATAGGTCTATATAGTTTTTCTAGGATCTTTATCAGATTTTGCTATTGATACCACATTAGCATCATCAAATGAGTTGAAAAGTTAGCATTTTTTTTTATTCCTAGTTCAAATAGTTTTTTTTTTAGTCAAAAGTGAATATCTTTTTTTTAAGATTTATTTATTTATTTATTCAGAGAGAGAGAGAAAGAGAGAGAGAGAGCATGAGTAGGGGGCAGGGAGAGGGAGAAGCAGATTGCCCACTGAGCAGAGAGCCTGACACAGGGCTCCATCCTAGGACCCAGGTATCGTGACTCAAGCTGAAGGAAGATGCTTGACTGATTGGGCCACCCAGGCACACCTCAGATGTCTTTATTTTTTAATACATTTTATTTTTTTAGAGCAGTTTTAGGTAGTCAGCAATACTGAGCAGAAGATGCAGAGATTTCCCATACACCACCTACCCCCACACATACATAGCCACCCCCCCATTATCAACATCCCCCACCAGAGTGGTACTTTTGTTACATTTGATGAACATACAACAAATGACACATCATTATCACCCTAAGTCCTTAGTTTACATTAGGGTTCACTGTTGCTGTTGTATATTCTATGGGTTTTGACAAAGATATGACATGTATCCACCATTAGAGTGTCATACAGTGTAATTTTACTGCCCTAAAAATCCTTCCAGGCTCTGCCAACTTACTCTGCCGTACTCACACCCCCTGGCATCCAGTGATCCTTTTACGAGCTCCATAGTTTTTTTTTGTTTGTTTGTTTTTTTTTTTGCCTTTTAGAGAACATCATATAGTTGGAGTCATACAATATGTAGCCTCTTCAGATTGGCTTCTTTTACTCAGCAATATGCATTTAAATTTCCTCGAGCTTCATGCTGAGGCTTTTTTTTTTTTAGTATCAAATAATATTCCATTGTCTGGATGTACCAATGTTTATTGTATCCATTCATCTACTGAAGGATATCTTGGTTGCTTTTAAGTTTGGCACTTAGGAATAAAGCTGCCAAAAACATCCATGTGTGGGTTTTGTGTGGACACACTTTTCACTCCCTTTGGATAAATACCAATAAGTATGATCACTGGTTTGTGTGGTAAGAATATGTTTAGTTTTCTAAGAAACCACCAAACTGTCTTCCAAAGTGACTACCAGTCTGCATTCCCACCAACAATGACAAGTTGCTACATCCTCATCAACATAAGGTGGTGTCCGTTTTCTGGATTTTGGCCATTCTAATAGGTGTGTAGTGGTATCTCTTAATTTGCACTTTGCTGGTGACATGTGGTGTGGGGCATCTTTTCCTATGCTTATTTGCCATCTATATGTCTTCTCTGGTGAGTTGTCTGTCTAGATCTTCTGCCCATTTTTAAATCAGGTCATTTTCTATTTGTTGAGTATTAAGAATTCTTTGTATATTTTGGGTAACTGTCCTTTATCAAATGTGTCTTTTGCAAACATTTCCTCCCAGTCTGTGATTTCTATCTTCATTCTCTTAACAGCATCTTTCACAGAACAGAGCATTATAATTTTGATGAAGTCCCGTTTATCAATTCTTTCTTTCATAGATCCTGCCTAGTGTTGTATCTAAAAGTTACTCCAATGT